AAACAATTGTGCAAAGGGAAGTAAGTGCCCGTGCCCTTCTCCAAGAAGGCTGTTGGTCTCACCAACCTGGGTGTCAGTGTGGCCTTAGCGACGAGCTCTGCTTTCCAACCGGTAAAGACAGCTGTCCAAGGGAAGCGGACGAGGAACTCTTTCCTTCCGAGTGACGGCTGCTGTGGAAACCTTTGTGCCTCCACGGCAATGGAATGCCTTGACATCACAACCTGCCGGCCAGATCCATTATGCCTCACGTGTTCAGTCCTGTGATGTCACTGGCCATTCTCTGTGTATTTGCTCAGCAGGGTGGTGTTCTCAAAGGCGTTCTCCCTCTTTGACCCCCCTGCTCTTGCTTCTTCTGCTGGGCTGCTTCCCTGACTTTCTCCCTGCTTTCTTCCCCTAAGCAGCTCTGGTTTGGTGCTCTTCATAGACACTGAGAACTGGGAAGCCCTGGCCCTTGAGAGCTCCAGCTGGAGGTCAGCTGTGACCAGCAGTGCTGCAGAATTTGAAGAGGCATGAATGGAGGGTGAAAGAGAAACATGCCAAGAAGAAGACGCGTCAAGCCAACCCTGACCGGGACCACCTTCCACCTGGAAACCAATGCTCTCACTGTGGGAGAAGATGCAGATCAAGAAGAGGGCTTCACAGTCACCTATGGACCCACCGCCAGGACACTACACTTGGAGGCATCATCCTCGGACTACAAAGGATCACCTAAGTGTTAGAGATCCTAAATTGGGTCTTCTTAGGTCCACATCACGGGAACACGTAAGGAAGGAAACAATGTATTGTCGAAGGCTTTCATGGCTGGAATCACTAAGTTCTTGTGGGTTTTTTCGGGCTATATGGCCATGTTCTAGAGGCATTTCTCCTGACGTTTTGCCTGCATCTATGGCAAGCATCCTCTGAGGATGCTTGCCATAGATGCAGGCGAAACGTCAGGAGAAATGCCTCTAGAACATGGCCATATAGCCTGAAAAAAACCCACAAGAACTTAGGAAGGAGACAGTTCCAAAAAAGATCAAAAATCAAGGTTTATTTTAGTTTCTTCATGAAGAAGACGGACAGCCTGGCAGCATATGCAGATGCTACCCTTCAAGTGACTGCCCCTCCTCTTTTTCTCCTGACTTTTATACTCAAGTAATAGGTCATGGAAAGTCCTCTTTCCAGCCCCTCTCCCTTGACCTTTTGATGGAAAGTACCTTTTTGTACCTGCAGACTCTGCGCTTAACCACAACCTTTGAACTTAACTACAACACTACTTCCTATGTACCTCTACATGTCACATCTTGTTTCTTTAAAACATTTTCTTCCGTGTTACTCCTTTTCTACAGAAAAAGGGTATATTTCTCTTTTGCTGTTAATTTCATTCAAAGCCCCTTGCTTAGCATTTGCAAATTTCACTCAAAGACCCTTTCATAAGTAAGTAAGTACCAGTCACAGCAGCCTTTCTTCCACTCTAGGCCCTGGACCACTGCGCCCCACATGATGTATTTATTTATCGTATCAGGAGCTAACCAAACTGTTGTATTGTAATTAAAAAAAACAAAACACAAAGTTCACAAACTTGGCATGATACTAAATGTCCTTAGACCAGAAGGACATTTACTTTGCCTCTGGTGTTGCTCTAAGAAGGTCCTCCCTTGTGCATGTGGCAGGGCTCAGGTTGCATTGTAGTAGGTGGTCTGTGGTTTGCTCTTCTCCACACTTGCATGTCGTGGACTCCACTTTGGGGCCCCATTTCTCAAGGTTGGCTCTGCATCTCGTGGTGTCAGAGCGCAGTCTGCTCAGCGCCTTCCAGGTTGCCCAGTTTTATGTGTGCCGAGGAGGGAGTCTCTCATTTGGTACCAGTCATGGATCAAGGTTCTGGGTTTGAGCCTGCCACTTTTGGACTCTTGCTTGCTGAGGTGTTCCAGCTAGTGTCTCTGTAGATCTTAGAAAACTATTTCTTGATTTAAGTCGTGGACATGCTGGGTGATACCCAAACATATATATGGACGTCATACGTCACTCTGAAATGCAGGAGGTGTGGACTAATGCTGATAGCAGCATGTTCTGAGTCCACTCTGAAATGCAGGAGGTGTGGACTAATGCTAATAGCAGTGTGTTCTGAGTTCGTGATATAGCTGCCGAATGGAGAGGAGGCGGTTTTACGATGTGCTTAGCTTCTAATGTAAATAGTTGTATAATAAATTAGTTTACAGCCTAAAGGAGACTGTGATCGATGTGTTTCCTTGCCTTGCTGTGCAGAGATGCCACTGATACCCACCCTCCCCACACTTTTGCCTCTCCTTCTTGAGGCTTCCCGGAGGCCGCTCTTCCACTCTTCCTCGGCTTTCTCTTGCCATTCTGGCTACTTGCCGGCCCTTCCCTAATGTTTTGGCCTCTGGATGACTGCAACAGTCTTGAGGGAACCCAGCGTCAGCCTGGCTCACCTCCCCGTGAAAGCGATTCTTTATACAACTGTGACTTCAATGGCCGCGCCGTGAAGGCAAAAGCAGACCCACAGGAAATTAGCCTACGACTGGCTGCTGTGTTTAGTTACCAGAGTTCTGTAACTATTCTTTTCACTTGACATAAAAGCTAAAATTAACAGTCAAAATATGATATGCTTTAATAAACTTTATTAAAATTTCAGAAGCCAGTCTACTTTTCAAAAAAACCTTTTATCTTTACCAACAAAACTGTTAGAACATGGGTTTAAATGGAAGTGAAATATTGCTTGTAGTTTAAACTGTGTGGTGTAGCAATGCAATGCAAGAGCTAAATGCATAGAGTTGTGCTTGATTCCTAGAGCGTAACTTTGGAGTGTTCCGGTAACGTGTTTACCTTCCACAGAAATCAGATAGCCCTGCGGTTTCTGCTCCTGGAGACGTACAGCTAGTGAATGGACGTATTTTATTCTGCTCCTGTAAATAGTGTAAATTGCAATAAAAGGTAAGAGCTGCTCCAGGCTTTGGAGCTGACTGAGGTAGCAGGCTTCATTATTTGCTTTTGTGCCTTTGAGCAGATGCTCAGAGGTCAATAAACCAACAAAAACATGGACATGAATGCACTCTAACTGGGGGAGGGAATGAAAAACCCCTTTTCTTTTGTTTTCTTGCTCCTTTATCTTCTGCAGCATCATCACAGGTGATGCAGGTTCTCGGACAGGGCCAGGTGGGTGATCTGCTTGACCATGAAGGCCAGCTTATGGGCATAATGGCAGGGCACTGGCACATGGATCACGCCCTGCATGCACAGCAGCAGGAGGAGAGCCAAGAGGCACACAAAAGACAGGGAGCCCCTTGTTAGTTGCTGCTTCGCTTCGGAAGGCAGGGCCATCGCCATCCAACTCTCTACCCATTGACTGCCATTGCACCAGGCAGGACTCTTTATTTCTCTGTTTACTATATTTCAATCCCACCTTTCTCTACCCCAAAGGGGACTCAAGGTAGCTTAACAGCATAGGCAAGAATTCAATGCCCTAAAACTAACTCTCTCTCTCTCTCTCTCTCTCTATATATATATATATATAGTGTGTGTGTGTGTGTGTGTGTAATATACAATTAAATAAACATTCATTTAAAAATTTAAAAACCAGATTAGAAAACATTAAAACATTAGAATTATTACTATGAACCATGTTGTCCACAATCTTAGTCAAGACCTTTCCGAAGATCATACACATTAATTCCAAGTCCATCGACTTGCCCAATATTAGATAGAAATGTATGTAATAAAATAAATATAAATTATTCACCAAAGGTTTGATCCCAAAGCCACATTTTAACCCCTTTTCTAAAGGTCAGGAGGGATGGGGCTGATCTAACATCGCTGGGGAGGGAGTTCCACAGCCAAGGGGCCACCACGGTGAAGGTCCTGTCTCTCATTCCCACCAATTGCACCTGCAAAGGAGGTAGGACTGAGAGCAGGGCCTCTCCGGAGAATCTTAATCTCTGAGATGGTTCGTAGGGGGCAATATGTTTGGACAGACAAGCTGAGCCAGAACCGTTTAGGGCTTTTGCCCCTCACAAGGCTCTCAGGGAACACATAAAGCTCTACTTTGAGTAAGCACAGATTAATAATAATAATAATAATAATAATAATCTTTATTTGTACCCCGCCACCATCTCCCCGATGGGGACTCGGAGCAGCATACATGGGGCCAAGCCCGAATTGTTGTTGTTCTTGCTGTTATTAAAATTGTATCCTGCTTGTGACCCCAAGTGATTCACACTTGAAAAGAACAGTACAATGAAACACATTGTCGGGGCTCAGCCTGTGATTGTCTCTTTGCCTCAGGCTTCAGAGGAGAATGACCACGAGTCTGCAGAGGTTCCAATGTCTGAGTTCAATGATCAGGTTTCTGCTGCCTCTCAGTGAATAGAGATGATGGTCAAGAGAGTACAGTTAGCCTGAGTGAACCTGAGGATTCTGGGATAGCTGGTTCATAAGGCAAAGATGCTTTGATGCTAACAGAAAAAAAGGCCGAGAAAAAGACTGAAAGGCCAAATAGTGAAAGGAATGTACTAATTGGCAAGCCGAGGGAGGACCAGACACTCTTTGATAGGAGAAGTCAAATCAATCAACATCGCCATCTGGAAAGGGGGTAGAAGACAGTCCAAAAGATTAAGAGCAAAAAGGGGACAGAGAGAGGTTTCCCAAGGGAAATGGAATGCTTTTGCTATGGCTTTCTGAATAAATATAGGGCCTGTGAATCTACACTCTTGAGTGAGTTCAACGTTTGATTTTCATGTGTAACCATGCCTTCTTGTTCATGCTAAGATTCCTGTTTACTCCTGCCTGGGATTCATGTTCATGCTGAGATTCTTGTATGTGGTTTATCCTGGTTTTCAAGCTCATGCATTGGGATTTAATGGTTCAAGTTTGCTGCTGTTTCTTCAAGGGACTTTGGTCTTTTGCAAACTTTTGGAACTTCTGTGCACTTGTTTATTGGATTTTTGCAACCCTCCTGGTTCCTGACTTATAACTGACTGTCTTATTTTACCTTGCTATTTTGCTTTTTACCTTTTTGGCTATTGCTATATTAATCCTCAATAAATTGCTTTGCTATAAAGAACATTGGTGTGTTTACGGGTTCAAAGGTGCCAACGCCAGCCTTGGTGTGCAACACACATCCATAATGGAAGTATTAACATAACATTAAGCTAATTACAATATTAAGGTTGTTAAGATCTTCTGGAGGGGCCCTGCTCTCGGTCCCACCACCTTCGCAATTACGTCTGGTGGGGACGAGGGACAGGGCTTTCTCGGTGGTGGCCCCTCGGCTCTGGAACTCTCTCCCGATGGAGATTAGATCTGCCCCTTCACTCCTGACTTTCAGAAAGCTGGTAAAATCTTGGCTCTGGAACACAGCATTCTCAGAATGATGATCGAGTCAGTAACTGCTGACCACACTGGCGGATGGTGATGAATTTGTGATTTACCTTGACGATTTGGCTTTATGTAATTATTTAATCTGTATTGTAATGTATTTTAATGTATTAATGTATTATGATGTTATTATGTTTTAGCTTATTTGTGTTTGAATTTCCTGTTGTTAGCCAGCCTGAGTCCCACTTCAGAGGTTGAGAAGACCGTGTTATAAAAACTAAATAAATAATAAATAAATAAATTTATCACCAAGCCTTGTTTCCATGACAACCAAACAAAATTTTCAAAATCCAATTTTCACAGGAACAGAAAGGGAATAGAAATCTTCTGAACAGGTGTATAGGTTCTGCAAAACAAATGTTCAAGGAGTGTGAACCCTTTCCTATGCCATCAACACTTTACAATGTCTGAAATTAAACTTTTTAAAGGTATGTATTCTGACTTATATAAAAACATCGTAACTTAAGAACAAGCCTACAGAACCTCTCCTGTTTGCAACCAAGGAATGCCTGGATATGGATTATTCCGAATGTGAGTTCTTTGATGTGAATGTAGATTTCCTCTCTGAGAGAAGCTCTTTCCACACTCCAGGCATGTATAGGGTTTCTCTCCAGTGTGAGTCCTTTCATGGGAATGCAGTTGTCCACTCTGAGAAAAGTTCTTTCCACACTCCAGGCATGTGTAGGGTTTCTCCCCAGTGTGGCTTCTTTGATGTCTATTTAGATTTCCACTGTCATTGAAGCTCTTTCCACACTCCAGGCACGTATAGGGTTTCTCTCCAGTGTGAGTCCTTTGATGGGAATGCAGTTGTCCACTCCGAGCGAAGCTCTGTCCACACTCCAAGCATTTGTAGGGTTTCTCTACAGCGTGACTGCTTTGGTGTCTATTTAGATTTCCACTGTCAGTGAAGCTCTTTCCACACTCGGGGCATGTATAGGGTTTCTCTCCAGTGTGATTTCTTTGATGTGAACGTAGATTTCCACTCTGACTGAAGCTCTGTCCACACTCCAGGCATTTGTAGGGTTTCTCTCCAGTATGAGTGCTTTGATGTCTATTTAGATTTCCATTGTCAGTGAAGCTCTTTCCACACTCGGGGCATGTATACAGTTTCTCCCCAGTGTGTGTTCTTTGGTGTCTCTGTAGGATCTCACTATGGGCAAAGTTCTTTCCACACTCCAGGCATGCATAGGGCTTCTCCCCAGTGTGAGCTTTTTGGTGTCTCTGTAGGCTCCCGTTCAGAGTGAAGCCCATTCCGCATTCCAAGCATATATAGGGTTTCACCCCAGCGTGAGTTCTTTGGTGTGAATATAGGTTCCCATTCGAATTGAAGCTCTTGCCACACTCCGAGCATGTATAGGGTTTCTCCCCAGTGTGAGTTCTTTCGTGGTTCTGCAAAAAGCCATGTCGACTAAAGCGCTTTCCACATTCGGCACATTTATAGGGTTTCTCCCCAGTGTGAGTTCTGTGATGTGACTGCAGATGTCCACTCTGCGCAAAGGTCTGTCCACACTCCAAGCATGTATAGGGTTTCTCCGCAGTGTGAGTCCTTTGATGTAAACGTAAACCTCCGCTGTGAGTGAAGCTCTTTCCACACTCCAGGCATGTATAGGGTTTCTCCCCAGTGTGAGTCCTTTCATGGGAATGCAGATTTCCACTCAGCGCAAAGCTCTTTCCACATTCCAAGCATGTATAGGGTTTCTCCCCAGTGTGAGTCCTTTGATGGGAATGCAGATTTCCACTCAGCGCAAAGCTCTTTCCACACTCCAGGCATGTATAGGGTTTCTCTCCAGTGTGAGTCCTTTCATGGGCATGCAGTTGTCCACTCTGAGCGAAGCTCTGTCCACACTCCAAGCAAGTGTAGGGTTTCTCCCCAGTGTGGATCCTTTGATGTGACTGCAGGTGTCCAATCTGAGCAAAGCTCTGTCCACACTCCAAGCAGGTGTAGGGTTTCTCCCCAGTGTGAGTTCTTTCATGTAACTGCAGAGTGCCCAGACAACTAAAGCCCTTCCCACATTCTGTACATTTATGGAGTTTCTTCCCAAGGTTGAGAGTGATATTCATTATTTACTGAAATAGAGACACTTGACTCTTCTTTTTCCTTCTTTGATCTGTGAAGGAGGCAAAGAGTTCCACAAGATCAGCACCTTCAGAGGATTTCTTCTTCCTATGTAATTGGTTTTCTTACTGCACTTTTGGTTTCCCAATCCATCAATATCCATTAGATGCTGGTTTGTTTCTCATCATGGCAGACGTGGCTTCCTAGAATGCTCATTTCCCTGGTCAAAAAAAGAAGAAGCGAAAGATAAGGAGTGAACCTTCTTTACCACCACGATTACACCCCCCCCCCCTTTCTCTTCATGGGAAATACTGAGAAATACAGATGAGAAATACAGCTGTTTAGCAGTGGAACTCTCTGTCCCGGAGTGTGGTGGAGGCTCCTTCTATGGAGGCTTTTAAACAGAGGCTGGATGGCCATCTGTTGGGGCTGCTTTGAACACGATTGTCCTGCTTCTTGGCAGAATGGGGTTGGACTGGATGGCCCACGAGGTCTCTTCCAACTCTAGGATTCTACGAAGGGTCTCAAGGGCATACACAGAGGTGACTACAGATTCATAAGAAGGTCTGTATCAAGAATCAGTCTCACCAAATGAACAGGACTGGGACTAAAGTTGGTCTGACCGTGTGGGCCTCAAGAAGACAACAGAAGAAAAGGAAAGAAGGGGGATGAGCACTGAAGAGAGGATGGAAGGAACAAAGGAAAGGCAGAAGGGAGGGAGGGAGGGAGGGAGGGAGGGAGGGAGGGAGGGAGGGAGGGAGGGAGGGAAGGAAGGAAGGAAGGAAGGAAGGAAGGAAGGAAGGAAGGAAGGAAGGAAGGAAGGAAGGAAGGAAGGAAGGAAGGAAGGAAGAATCACGGAGATTATTGGGTGGATTCCAAATGTGGCTAAAGCAGTGGTTCTCAACCTTTCTAACACCGGGACCCCTAAATATGGTTCCTCATGTTGTGGTGACCCACCACCATAAAATTATTTTTGTTGCTCCTTTATAACTGTAATTTTGCTACTGTTACAAATCGTAATGATATGAAGAATGTGTTTTAATTGTTACAAATTCAACATAATTAAAGCATCACGATTAATCAGGAAAAAATGGATTTGCAGTACTTTCAACCAATTCAGCGCTGACTTCCACAGGCCACTGAGACTTCCACACAGAATTCCTGGATGGCGAGAACGCGAGGCAAGCAAGACGGGCTTTGCGTGAGGCCAGGCTTGCGCGGAGGACCCCTCGCCTGCCCCGCACCCTCGCCGATGGCGAGAACGCGAGGCCATGCCTGCCCCTTGCCTGCCGATGGCGAGAGAGCGAGGCAGGTGAGGTGGGCTTTGCCTCGCATGAAGGAGCCCTTGCCTGGCCCGCACCCTTGGGATTGTGCCGCAGCTGGCTGAGTGTCAGCTGCATTAAGATCACTCTGATCACTCTGACCAAAAGGTCATGAGTTCAAAGCCAGCCTGGGCTGGAGTGGGTGTCCAGCCATTGTGTAGCCTGTTGTTGACCTTTGCAACCCGAAAGACAGTTGCATCTGTCAAGTAGGAAAATAAGGTACCACCTTAAAAGTGTGGGGAGGCTAAATTAACTAATTTATGAGGCCATAAAGAAAACTCCGGGATGTGGAATGTGGAAGAACTTCGTCAGTGTCGCTGATGGACAATGAAAGCAGCCGCTCCCCTGACGGCCAGAAAAAAATTAAATAGCCTCTGTGTATTGTCTGTATTCATTGTCTGTCAAACTGGCATTGAATTTTTGCCATATATGTGTATACTGTAATCCGCCCTGAGTCCCCTGCGGGGTGAGAAGGGCGGAATATAAAAACTGTAAATAATAATAACGGAGGCGGCCTCGCGACCCCTCCGAGATGGCCAGGTGACCCCCCTGGGGGTCGCGACCCCCAGGTTGAGAACCACTGGGCTAAAGGATCAGAAGGTGGAAGGAGAGAATAATAGAAGGAAAGAAGGGAGTGAGGGCAACTCATTCCATCATTAGAAGGTCACACAGATTTCATGGAATTGTCACCTAATGTGGTCATAGAATCATAGAATCAAAGAGTTGGAAGAGACCTCATGGGCCATCGAGTCCAACCCTCTGCCAAGAAGCAGGAATATTGCATTCAAATCACCCCTGACAGATGGCCATCCAGCCTCTGCTTAAAAGCTTCCAAAGAAGGAGCCTCCACCACACTCCGGGGCAGAGAGTTCCACTGCTGAACGGCTCTCACAGTCAGGAAGTTCTTCCTAATGTTCAGATGGAATCTCCTCTCTTGTAGTTTGAAGCCATTGTTCCGCGTCCTAGTCTCCAAGGAAGCAGAAAACAAGCTTGCTCCCTCCTCCCTGTGGCTTCCTCTCACATATTTATACATGGTCATGGTCAAAGGAACAGACGGCAGAGAGGAAGATAGACAGACAGAGAGACAGAAAGAGCTCCTTCCTTCCAATATTAAAGAGTGTCATTCACTCTGGATCATGAGTTCCACTGAATTACCAGCATGTGCTAAATGTTGAGAAACACAAGGGTTTCCTTACTGTCTTTCTGGTTTGCCTCCCAGTCCAAAAAGGCTTCCAGGTCTCTCCCTAAGCATCAAAATGAGCCACCTGCTGCCACCAAGTGTCCTAGTACAGTGTTCCCTCGCTACTTCGCAGTTTGCTTTAAGGGAAACACATTTTGGGGACCTACCTCCACGTGGCTTCCATTCCAGGCTTCTGTGTTCCTCAGCAGAGCTGCATTCCTGTCTTCTAAGTGACATGCCTGGGAGGCTTCAGTGGCTGCCTCTTCCTCGGCTGCCTGTAAAGCAAGAAAAGGAAACCCTGAAATGTAGCTGAGCACAGCACAGCTTGGCTTAAGAACCAAGAACCCAGAGGTGTAGCTCTTGAGGGATACATGAGGCCACTGCCACTCCCAACTTAGAATTCTGCCTTGCCAAATGAAAAGGTTCTTCAGTCCCGACTTTTCTAGCATTGCAGAGTGAGTCGGTCATTGCACCTGAATGAACACTGAGCATTGCAAAAGTTGTTCACCACAATTAGAATTACCAAATGAAAAGGTGTTTCAGTCCCGACTTTTCTAGCATTGCAGAGTGAGACAGTCATTGCACCTGGTGAACACTGAGCATTGCAAAAGTTGTTCCCCACAAGATCTCAACTGAACACAGACCAAGAAATTCACATTCTAACGTGTCATATTTGATAAGGACATTTCATAAGAGGGCAGAATCCTGGGCAGTGGACTCCCCCCCCAGTGGTAACCCACCCACAAGAGATGCAGCTTCATTGTAGCACTGTAACACCTTGGCCAGCACACTGGGGCACCCAAGAGCCTTAATCCTGAAAAATGGGGGTTTCCCTCCCAGTCTTTCAATGTAAACACACAAGGAGGAGGTGCACTTCCAGGCACATTTATTTATTTATTTATTTCAAACATGTCTATCCTGTCCTTCTTACCCCCAGGAGGAGGGATGAGGCTCAGGGCGGCCCACCACCGGCAACCATTTGAAGGTGATTTTCCTGCTTCTTGAAGGAATGCGGTTAGAATGGATGACCTAAACCATTTTCTTAGGATTCTAAGAAAAGAGGGGAGAGGAAGGAAGAACTTCCTGACTGTGACAGCCGTTCAGCAGTGGAACTCTCTGCCCCAGAGTGTGGTGGAGGCTCCTTCTTTGGAGACTTTGAAGCAGAGGTTGGATGGCCATCTGTCGGGGGTGCTTTGAAGGCGATTTTCCTGCTTCTTGAAGGAATGGGGTTGGACTGGATGGCCTAAACCATTTTCTTAGGATTCTAAGAAAAGAGGGGAGAGGAAGGAAGAACTTCCTGACTGTGACAGCCGTTCAGCAGTGGAACTCTCTGCCCCAGAGTGTGGTGGAGGCTCCTTCTTTGGAGACTTTGAAGCAGAGGTTGGATGGCCATCTGTCGGGGGTGCTTTGAAGGCGATTTTCCTGCTTCTTGAAGGAATGGGGTTGGACTGGATGGCCTAAACCATTTTCTTAGGATTCTAAGAAAAGAGGGGAGAGGAAGGAAGAACTTCCTGACTGTGACAGCCGTTCAGCAGTGGAACTCTCTGCCCCAGAGTGTGGTGGAGGCTCCTTCTTTGGAGACTTTGAAGCAGAGGTTGGATGGCCATCTGTCGGGGGTGCTTTGAAGGCGATTTTCCTGCTTCTTGAAGGAATGGGGTTGGACTGGATGGCCTAAACCATTTTCTTAGGATTCTAAGAAAAGAGGGGAGAGGAAGGAAGAACTTCCTGACTGTGACAGCCGTTCAGCAGTGGAACTCTCTGCCCCAGAGTGTGGTGGAGGCTCCTTCTTTGGAGACTTTGAAGCAGAGGTTGGATGGCCATCTGTCGGGGGTGCTTTGAAGGCGATTTTCCTGCTTCTTGAAGGAATGGGGTTGGACTGGATGGCCTACCCCATTTTCTTAGGATTCTAAGAAAAGAGGGGAGAGGAAGGAAGAACTTCCTGACTGTGAGAGCCATTCAGCAGTGGAACTCTCTGCCCCAGAGTGTGGTGGAGGCTCCTTCTTGGAGGCTTTGAAGCAGAGGCTGGATGGCCATCTGTCAGGGGTGCTTTGAAGGCGATTTTCCTGCTTCTTGAAGGAATGGGGTTGGACTGGATGGCCTAAACCATTTTCTTAGGATTCTAAGAAAAGAGGGGAGAGGAAGGAAGAACTTCCTGACTGTGACAGCCGTTCAGCAGTGGAACTCTCTGCCCCAGAGTGTGGTGGAGGCTCCTTCTTTGGAGACTTTGAAGCAGAGGTTGGATGGCCATCTGTCGGGGGTGCTTTGAAGGCGATTTTCCTGCTTCTTGAAGGAATGGGGTTGGACTGGATGGCCTACCCCCTTTTCTTAGGATTCTAAGAAAAGAGGGGAGAAGAAGGAAGAACTTCCTGACTGTGAGAGCTGTTCAGCAATGGAACTCTCTGCCCCAGAGTGTGGTGGAGGCTCCTTCTTTGGAGGCTTTGAAGCAGAGGCTGGATGGCCATCTGTCAGGGGTGCTTTGAAGGCGATTTTCCTGCTTCTTGAAGGAATGGGGTTGGACTGGATGGCCTACCCCATTTTCTTAGGATTCTAAGAAAAGAGGGGAGAAGAGAATGAAGGATAGAAAAGGAGTTGTGTAGTGTTTTGAAGCAAAGGAGAGAGAAAAATGGAGAAATAGCAAATAGAAAGGCCTAGCTCACGCTTCCAGCCCTAATCAGAAAATCTATCTTTTTTGCCCTAAATCTTCTCTTCTCTGGTAGATGAGAAGATTCCAGGATCCCTTGGATTTATTTATTTACATTATTTCTATCCTGCCCTCATTGGGAATCTTGTTCTTCTTGTTACAAACTCTTTTCTCCTTTCTCGTTATTCCTAAATCCCTCACAGTGCTTCCTTCAGGGAAAAGGCTCCATTCTGAGGAGGCTTTGCTTCCAAAAAGCAACATGCTTTTCTCTTTATTGTTTTATTTTTTAAAAGCCTTTTATGTTGTTAGGCTTTTCTTCGTAATGCTTTTGTGGGCTGTTTTAAATATCCTGAAATAAATACACAAAAGCACCAAAGCTAAGCCACAAGAATCCCCTCTGGGCTCTTCCTATCTCAAGGCCATCCTGAGGAGAATGAAGGGCAGCCGCCTCCTGCCTAGCCGCTGAGGGCTTCTGGGAATTGTAGTTCTGCAACAAGGCAGGGCCAATACGTTAGAGGGCCAGGGGCAAGGCCATTAAACTACCCTTCCCAAGGTCCTCTTGGGGCGGCAGCCGTTGAGGAGGCCATTTTGTTCCCTCTTCCCAGCAGAGGAAGAGGAATGGCTTGGCAGCAGGGACAAAATGGCCGCCATTCCTCAGAAGAAAGAAAGAAGCCTCTAGGCCTCACAAAACCATTTGGAAAGAAGCTATTCAATTCCGTAAAAAGTTCTGCCTATTCTTACCAGAAGGAAGAAGTATATATATTACCAATAAATAAATAATAATAATCCCAATTTTAGCTTTATCTTGACATCCCCAACATACACGAGATGTCCCCTCATATAGATGTTCCCAAAATGGCCACCATTTCTCAGAAGAAAGAGTCCTCCAGGCCTCACAAAACCATATGGAAAGAAGCCCTTCACTTCCATAAGAAATTCTGTCTATTCTTAGTAGAAGGCAGAAGTTAATCTATATATTACAAATAAACAATAATACCCATTTTAGCTTTATCCTGGCATTCCCAACAAGCAAGAGGTTTTCCTCTATAGAGATGTCCCCAAAATGGCTGTCATTCCTCAGAAGAAAGAAGCCTCTAGGCCTCACAAAACCATATGGAAAGAAGCCATTCAATTCCGTAAAAAGTTGTGCCTATTTCTCGCAGAGGGCAGAAGTGGATCTATACTACAAATAATAATAATAATATTCCACATTTCAGCTTTATCCTAGCATTCTCAACAAGCAAGAGGTGTTCCTTCATAGAGATGTTCCCAAAATGGCTGCCGTTCCTCAGAAGAAAGAAGCCTCCAGGCCTCACAAAACCATATGGAAACAAGCCATTCACTTTCATAAGAAGTTCTGTCTATTCTTACCAGAAGGAAGAAGTAAATCTATATATTACAAATAAATAAATAACCCCCATTTTAGCTTCATCCTGACATTCCCAACAAGCAAGAGGTTTTCCTCCATAGAGATGTCCCCAAAATGGCTGTCATTCCTCAGAAGAAAGAAGCCTCCAAGCGTCACAAAACCATATGGAAAGAAGCCATTCAATTCCGTAAAAAGTTCTGTCTATTCTTACCAGAAGGAAGAAGTAAATCTATATATTACAAATAAATAAATAAATAAATAAATAAATAATAACTCCATTTTAGCTTTATCCTAACATTCCCAACATACACAAGATGTCCCCTCATATAGATGTTCCCAAAATGGCCGCTGTTCCTCAGAAGAAAGAAGCTTCCACGCCTCACCAAACCATATGGAAACAAGCCATTCAATTCTGTAAGAAGTTGTGCCTATTTCTAGGAGTGGGAAGATAATATTTATTTATTTATTTTATTTATTTACTTTGCTTCTATACCGCTGTATCTCAAGCCCGAAGGCGACTCACAGCGGTTCACAAACAGTAAAAACAGTAGAAACAGCAGTGGTTCCATACAACATATAACAATTGACTTAACACATTATCCATAAATTACCAATAAGCAATTACAATGCACAATTATTACAAAAAACAACCGTACCCAATCTTCTCCTCATCCAAGCGTAGTCCAGGTTCGTCGTCCATTGTTCCATTCCTATGTTCCATTACCAGATTGCACTAAATTACTCAAACGCCTGCACAAACATCCAGGTCTTCACCTTTTTGCGGAATACCATTAGAGATGGTGCTAGTCTAATGTCCGTAGGAAGGGCGTTCCACAGCCGAGGAGCCACCACCGAGAAGGCCCTATCTCTCGTCCCCGCCAGCCGAGCTTGAGAAGCAGGCGGGATCGAGAGCAGGGTCTCCCCGGAAGATCTCAAAGTCCTGGTGGGTTCATAGGCAGAGATGCGGTCAGATAGGTAGCTTGGGCCGGAACCGTTTAGGGCTTTAAAGGCCAACGCCAGCACTTTGAATTCAGCAGATCGGTAGCCAGTGGAGTTGGCGCAACAGGGGGGTTGTATGCTCCCTGCGCTCCGCTCCTGTTAAAATCATGGCTGCCGAGCGTTGGACTAGTTGGAGCTTCCGAGCTGTCTTCAAAGGCAACCCCACGTAGAGAGCGTTGCAGTAGTCTAAATGGGATGTAACCAGAGCGTGGACTACCGTGGCCAAGTCAGACTTCCCAAGGTACGGTCACAGTTGGCGCACAAGCTTTAGCTGTGCAAATGCTCCCCTAGTCACCGCCGAAACCTGGGGTTCCAGGCTCAGCGATGAGTCCAGGGTCACACCCAAGCTGCGAACCTGCGTCTTCAGGGGGAGTGCGGCCCCATCCAACACAGGCTGTAACCCTATGCCCTGTTCGGCCTTGCGACTGACCAGGAGGACCTCTGTCTTGTCTGGATTCAATTTCAATTTGTTCGCCCTCATCCAGACCGTCACAGCGGCCAAGCACCGGTTCAGGACCTGGACAGCCTCCTTAGTAGCAGGTGGAAAGGAGTGACAGAGTTGGACATCATCCGCATACAGATGACTCCGGATGATCTCCCCCAGCGGCTTCATGTAGATGTTAAACAACATGGGAGACAATATTGAGCCCTGAGGAACCCCACAAGACAATGGTTGTGGGGTTGAACAGGTGTCCCCCAACAACACCTTCTGAGATCGACCCTCCAGGAATGACCGGAGCCACTGCAAAACAGTACCTCCAAGACCCATCCCCGCGAGGTCCCAGAAGGATACCGTGGTCGACGGTATCGAAGGCCGCTGAGAGGTCCAGCAGCACCAACAGGGACACACTCCCCCTGTCGAGCTCCCGGCGCAGATCATCCACTAAGGCGACCAAGGCTGTCTCGGTACCATGCCCCGGCCTAAAGCCAGACTGTGCCGGGTCTAGATAATCCGTGTCTACAAGAATACCTGGAGTTGTGAGGCCACCACACGTTCCAAGACTTT